CTGGATACAAAAAAGTTTTTTCTCTTCATTTTGCTAGAAAATATTACTGTATTTTTGACACATTGACATGACTGGATACAAAAAAGTTTTTTCTCTTCATTTTGCTAGAAAATATTACTGTATTTTTGACACATTGACATGACTGGATACAAAAAAGTTTTTTCTCTTCATTTTGCTAGAAAATATTACTGTATTTTTGACACATTGACATGACTGGATACAACTTTTAATTTTAGCAAAGTTTTTTTTTAAGTTTTATGATAATTGCCTCATTTTAAAATAGTTTGGTTAAATTTTGCTATTTGCTGTCAAAAATACAAAAATATCTAGATTGGTTCTCTGGAGAAAAAAAAACATGTTTCATGTGAACATTTTTATAAACCTCTATACCAGTGGTTCCCAAACTTTTTATCTTCTGACCCACAAAATAATCATCGTGAAAACTTGTGACCCCAAATATTACTGGTCTGAGTACATGAACTTTGTTAATAACCCTAAAAACACAGAATTTTTTGACAATCTAAACAGCTTGTACACACATATAAATACTCATTTTTCTTTATTTTGTGTTTTTTAATAATTATAGGGAAAATATTACATCATCAATTATTTTATTACCCTTTAAATTGATTTCTGGAGATTATCCAAGGTGCTTCCTGACCCATAATTGGGTCCCAATCCCAACTTTGGGAACCAAAGTGCAGTGGTTCCCAAACTTTTCAGCTTTTGACCCACAAAGTAACATTAGCAGAGACCTGTGCCCTCAGCTATTTTTGGATGATAAACATTTGAATGAGGTCAACAAAACGTGGGCATGGTAACAATATTTTTATACTACATTTATCTTTTTTAAATATACTAACCTCACTCATTTGTAACAACTAAGGCAAAAATGTAATTAATTCAGAAAATCTTTTCAGGACCCCACCTTGATGTTTCAGGACCCCACTTTGGGTCCCGACCCCAATTTTGGGAAACACTGCTCTATACCACCATAAACATCAACATGCATTCTTATGGCTTGAACTTGTAGCAGACATGGAGGTAGCTGGACTAACAAACAAAAACAAACAACCAAAAAAAATTTTTTTTAATTACAGGGAACCATGGGAAAGAGCTGAGGTGAAATAAGCTCAATCTGTCCTCTCCACCGTACATGTCTTAGAGAAATGCACAGTAGTGACGACTATAGAACCAGAGGTCAGTAGCATGAGCTCAGTGGTCCGTTCCTCTTTCAGGACCCAAGATGGGCTGTTGGAAGGATGATGAATAGCTACTGGCCCCTCGACCTTCAGAGACTGGCACATTTGGAAGTTGTCAAACTGGGCAGCACGGTGGTCAGAGCTGTTACTTCTCAGCAAGAAGGTTGCCGGATTGAATCCCAGCCAGGGACCTTTCTTTGTGGAGTTTGCATTTTCTCTCTGTGCATGCGTGGGTTTTTTTTCCGGGCACTCTGACTTCCTCCCATATTCTTCACATGAATGTTAGGCTAACTGGTACTTACGTGAGTGAGAGAGTGAATAGTTGTTTGTCTTTATGTGTCTCTGTGATGGACTTGCAACCTGTCCAGGGTGACCCCCGCCCCTCACACTGTGAGCACCAGTGACCCTCGTGACCCAGAAAGGAAGAACTGAGTAAGGATAATGACTGGATGGATGGAGTTGTCAAACTGTTTAGTTCCAGTGGCAGAGGAGCAATGAGTTGGGGATGGGGAGACTGAGGAAGGTGGAATTAGCTGATGGAGTTATCAAGTTGACTGAGGAGGAGGCAGAGAGAAAGTTGAATACTGAACACAGAAACACTTTGATCTAGAGATGATTCACCACATCAAATCCAGCATCCAAAAATGACAGGTCAGGAGATGATCAAAAACAGGCAGGAGGCTAACCTGATGAGAGGCAGATGAGAGGCTGAGCCTGAAAGTGGTCAAACTAAAGACGAGGCAAAAGAGCTGATGATGCTAACCTGGTCATAATCACTGAAAACCTGGATATGAGCGCCGACGAGCTGAGACAAAGTTACAATTTGTTAGTGTAATCCAGGTTAAAAGTTAGTTGAAAACAAATAATCCCATTTTTTCCGGGACACCTGAACACACCTTCCATTGGTAATCCTTGTGACTGTCTCAACCAATCACGGCACTCGAGCGTGTTTACAAGCTGACCCCGATCAGTAACGCGAGGGGGGAAGCCACCAGAGCAGGTACACTTGGTAGGTTGCTTCATAAACTATGCCGTTTTTGCTTATTTTCCATCTTAAACGCTTAGTTGATTCAAGTGATTATATATTTTAGTGTCCACTACCGAAGTCTAGAGAAGCCGACTGGAGCCGAGACGCTAGTATGTTGTTTTTAGCGTTAGCATCCCTATGATGGGATTCTCTGCTAACTTAATGCTAATAGTATCAGTCATTTTAAATGTTTTTTGTTGAGTTTTATGAATGAAAATGCTAATCTAGTACCTTGGTTCAATCCTTTGGATTGGTTTAAGCATTTGTGGTTCATTTAAAATCTGAATGACACAATGATCAATGATATTGAAATGTTGTGTAAATGTTCTTAATATGAATGGGTGTTTATTTACATGCATTTGATTATTTTTGTACAGCTTTCATTGTCATTTAACAATTTTGACAGTTGTGTATTTTTGATATTTTGTGCACACTTGAGGTTTAAAACATAAAATTATGAATGTAAAACAAGCTAGTAGATTGAATAGAAATTAAATCATGGGTCCTGTTTTTTTAATACAGGCCAGGTGCGACCAGTCAGGTCCATGATGGTGAGCTACTATTACCTGGAACAGAACCTGTCTTAACATCATCAGCATTGTGGGTCTGGTAGGAGGCTACTGCAGCCCTGATTACCCCCCTCCATTTACCCATTCACATACACAAGGCCACTCAGCCCTGGCCCATGGACAATTTTCATCACATSTCTAATCAATTGAATGTGTGTATTGCTGTTGTGGCCAAGTGTACTGAATTGTGTTGTGAAGCATCCAAGATTTGAGAATACCTCAGGGTTTTCTGAATTGTTTTTCTTGTGACCTGTAAAAAAAAAAAAAAGAAAGAAAAGAACTAAGTGCACTTTATCAAAGTCCTTTTCTGCAGACTGTACATATTTTTGGGGTATTTGTTATTTTTGTTATGTTTTCACTTAATATATGGTACCAACACCAAATTTAATTATTTGTCTGTGCTGTTATTTACTTTTCCAATACCTCCGAGTCAGAACCAGTCTTCTGAAGCCCAATTATTAGTTATTATAATTGTAACTATAACCATCTGCTATATATGTATATATATTACATCAGGGTGAAAAAAAATGCCACTTTCTAAGATCTGCAGTTACGTATCTCTGGCGGTCTGTTTGTTTCTCCTCAGGCTGGTACCGATATGGAATTTTGGACAATGATCAGGTGATGAATTTGGACTAATCAGGATTCAGGGCCGCTCTTTACGGGAAGCTCACCTGGAGAGCTGGGGCTTTTCTGCTCTACGCTGACTGACTGTTCGACACACCTGTGTTGCTGCTCTGGGGCATTTTTCTTTTGTCGAACGGTTTGTGATGTAAGGACTGGGTAAGTAACATATGACCTATCACTTTAAGCAAGACAGATTTTATTTTATTTTATCTTTTTTTTTGCCACTTCAGTAGAAAGCAGTACTGAATATGTGAATATTAGTATCTTAGCTTCTTCATCATCAGTGGCTTTTTTTATGGATAGACAAGAAAGAAGAAGGAAAAGAAAAAAAAGGTTACAATGTAATGGAAAAAAGTGAAAGAATTGATGATATGTGAGATATACGTCAAGAAAACAATACAATACATCCAACTTCTGTCTGCACACCTGCAAAGAATTAAGGTACCAAAACGTAGCAAAAGCATGCATATATACATTTAGACAGATAAACACCCACCTATATATACACTCACCGGCCACTTTATTAGGTACACCTGTCCAACTGCTCGTTAACACTTAATTTTTAATCAGCCAATCACATGGCGGCAACTCAGTGCATTTAGGCATGTAGACATGGTCAAGACAATCTCCTGCAGTTCAAACCGAGCATCAGTATGGGGAAGAAAGGTGATTTGAGTGCCTTTGAACGTGGCATAGTTGTTGGCAGTGGTGGACAAAGTACTCAACTCTAGTACTTGAGTAAAAGTATTGATACTCATGGTCAAATCTACTCCACTAC